CAAGACACCCTGGGGTGTCTCGCCCCAAACCGAGACACCCTAGGGTGTCTCGGATCAAGTGGAGACACCCTAGGGTGTCTCCAAGTCAGATTTGGGCCTTAAGATCGTTTTAACCGCTCCGCAACCCCTCAAGCCTATAAATACAAGCCTTAGGCCTCATTTTTCGAGATCTGGTGTAACATTCCAATTTTTTTTTCCTTTCATTGATCGGATACCGTTACCGATACCAATCCATATTTTAGTAGATACTTTTCTTCATTGCATCTCATATAATCTTCTAGTATGAGAATTTAACTTAGCTAATTCTCATATTGTGATCTAATTAACTAAGTCATAGCATGCATACAAACTTAGCATGTAAACCTAAGTTAACCATGCTTTAAACCTTGATTAGAGATAACCAAATCATTAAATACCTAATGTGAAACTATTTTAATCTCTTCCCGTTCATTCCCTAATGTGAATATAATCCTTAAGGGTGTTGCAGGAAATTTTGCATAAAACCCCTCAACTTTGGCCAAATTGAGGATTTCTCTTCACATGGGCTTATATATATGTGCCCTCCACCTCTCATTTTGCCATTCTAAAGAAAAAAAAAACTCTCCAAACCCTCATCCCTCTCCTCTGGCCAACCAAACCCCAGCCCCTCTCCTCTTGTAAAAAAAAAATAGAAGAAAAATAAATAGATTCCATAAGCTCCAAACATTGAAGAAGAAGGAGAGGAGAAAGGAGTTAGTTGAGGATTTTGGAGGAGGAAGTGAAGCAAGTCTCAATACTAGGTATAATTCTCTTTTTCATGTTGTTGTTAAGAACATTAGACTGAATTATATAGTTAATTTAGATTTAGTCTTGCATGTAACATTTTAGGGCTTGCATGTCAATGTTATCTTGAGACTGAAATTTCGTGCAGAAATTTCCAGCAAGATACACTACCACTAAACAGATCATAACTTTCTTTGTATATATCCAAATGAAGAAATTCTTTTTGTTCTAAAACCTAGACTTCCGTGGCTTTCATTTGAGTCCCTGTTTGTTTAATTCTAAGGTCATTCACTTATTTGAAAGTATGGTTTAACTCAGTGCATGTGTCTAAAACTGTCTGCCTGAGTTATGTCATTTGTAAAGAGTATTTATCTCAACATATACCATGCATGCATGAAATTCTTTCTGTTCTAGAAACTACATATTCGTGGCTTTCATTTGAGATCTTGTTTGTTTAATTCTAAGATCATTTACTAGTTTAAAAGTATGGTTTAACTCAGTGCATGTGTCTGAAACTGTCTGCTTGAGTCATGTCCTTTGTAAAGAGCATATATCTCAACATATACCATGCATGCATGAAATTCTTTCTATTTCTAAAACTAGACTCAATTGTATTTCTGTTGATAGGAGTTTGAATTAATTTGAATAACGTTTGGTAGGCCTAAACCTAGTTCTAATAGCTAGCGTATGTGCTGGAAATTCCAGTCTACCCCCCTGTGTTGTTTTGCATGTAACATGCATTTTAAAAATGCAAAATTGATGAAACTCATGGGACATGGAAGCTAATCCATAATATTACTTACATACCAAGTATGAGCTCTTTGGGATATAGTTAAGTACCCGAAATAAATTATTCATCCCAAATGATGATCTCTGTTTTTCTGCTACAGTTTTGATAGGTGTAGTTTTCTGAGAGCATGACTCTTACTATACACCATGCATTGATATAAAAGTTTTATATTCTGAAATTAGACTCATAATGGAGTCATTTGAGACTAGTTTCATGCATTTTGGACATCAATTGCTGTACCATCTATTCACCTAAATCTGCTGCATGTACACTACTTAGGTTGCTGTGCATATTAGAGATATTAGATGCAATCATCTAGGGTGTAGCTTATACCATGATATAAGTTTTAAGTTAAAGTTTTAAAAGACATAGTATCTAGAATCTCATGTGGGTATACATGTATATATAGGACAGAGAATCTTGGATTCATTCGTTGGCCGAGAGGATCCCGACATAATCGGTAGGTAACCTTTCATTGTTTCCTCTCAAGTCTTTGAGAGTTCGATTGATTACTTTCTTGAAATTCCTGCGAGTTAGTTTCCCATGCTAATTGTATATCTTATCATTTTCATAATATTCCTATTTGATTCACCTCATGCATGGGCTCGTTGTTGATTGGTTAATCATTGCTATCCTAATGTTGTTTATTTCAGTTTTATACCTTCGATATCCTTGCATGCGCGGTTTATTGATTATCCCATGATTGGGGAGTTTGGAATCCTGAATATTAGACCTTGATTATTCATCTTTACATGTTATTTCACTTCGGTCAATGATTACGATATAAGAATGGCAACTTAATGTTGAGACCCCGTTGTTCAAGTTTGATATCTATGTCTATCATTTTCATTCGTTCCCTTGGATTGTACCCGAGATTTTTATGGTTACCTATTGGGCCTTAGGCTCACCCCTATTGTTTCTGAATCCACTCGCAGGTCATACAACTGGAAAGGATAAGGGCATTGCAGACCCTGAATTTGAAGATTAGCTCCAGAGGAAAATCTTAATAGGGGTTAATTATGTTCACTTTTGTAGTACCTTTGACTTATAAAACATGTATTAATGAGCCACTGCTATTATTGTAATGTTTTGTATTACCCTTTAGTTATCTTCTATTGTGGTATTCAATGGACTCTGCTGTCAACCTCGTGATCTTGGGTATTGCATATGCATCTCTACTGCTTTATTTTTCGCCCTTCAGTATATCTATGTTGTGATGTGCATAAAGATTTAGCAGGTCGACCCTTCTTATTACAGATAGGTCATGCTCAAATTTTTATGTACCTCCCAGAGGAGGGGCGTTACACAGTGGTATCAGAGCACAGGTTGACACCTTAAGAGTCCTACATTGAAATACCTAGGGGACGTAAGGATCTTTCTGGTCGGTGTCAAACACCAGTCATGGAGGAATTATCTTTCCATGACATTCTTGTGATATCTTGATCTCTATTAGGTTGGTTTTGTACCATTGGAGGTTGATAGGTGACTTCTGGTAGGAATGGCAGATTCAGATTCGAGTGTTTCTGATATGGAAGGATCCATTAGCAGCGGGGAGGTGTGGTCAACACTTTCAGAGGATTGGGAGATCAGCTCTGAGGAGACTGACCCGGAGGAGACATTTAGGGAGAGAGTGGATTACTCTTCGATTAGCCATCACACTCGTGGGCAATTGGCGAAGAGTGGCGAGCTTGAGAATGAGGACCTTGAAGAGGAGGACTCTGAGGAGGAGGACCCCATAAAGGAGGATTCCGAGGAGGAGGACCCCGAGGAGAACCCTATGGAGGATGAGGATCCTGCGGAGGAGCCTATGGAGTGGGAATTTGAGGTGGCACCAGAGCCTCTACTTGGTGAGATCCTAGAAGGAGTTCCTCTTGGTTGGGACCTTGACCTAGATGAGGAGGATTGGGCATGGGAGGATGAGCCGATGGTAGAGGATCCTACAGAGGGCGATGAGCAGGAGGAGATCAGCCTCGACGGTAGTGAACCACAGCCGACTGAGGCCTCTGATACAGAATCTACTTCTAGCAGCCCTTCCACCTCTTCCTAGAGGTTGACCCATTGGGTCACTAAGCCTAGGAATCTTATTACTTTTGGCTTTTGGGTGGACACCCAAGTGTGGTGTATTTTGGGACTACATACTTTTTATCTATATATCAGATATAGATTATTGTACTTTTGTAGAACTCTTGTATGGATGAATAGG